GCATGAAGTGGTCAAATGTCATAGCACAATGCCTGCTTATTTGTAACAAACCTTTTTTTAAATCGCTTATCATGTTAGGTGTGGCGTGACAAATCGGACAACATTGTGTCGAAGAAGTCTCCGTGATGTAACGGAGACTTCTTCGACAACTATAGTTGATAAAAACATACTTATGTCCTGAAAGGTAAACTTTATCAGGATATAAATTAAGAGTTTCTTTTTCAATTTCTTCCTTAATTTTTAATACAACTTCTTTATTCTCATTTACATACTCCAGTATAATTGGTCTACAGAATCTAATACCTTGAGACATTATGTTATTCCATAAAAGATTGTTTAAATCTGATTGCACATGTAATCGAAGAGGTGATGTTACTGTGACTAATAGATCCGAATCTTGAAGGTTATTTTGATTGGAATTATTAAAACGTTAATAGCATTTTTAGTGACTTAATGTTTCATCTATACCCTGACAACTAATTAGTATTAATTCATCAATGTCTTTCTTTTTATCATCAAAACTTTTAAAATTTTCTTCTCCCGTAGTTTCACAAGTCTTTTGGATGTATGATCCATAAGATCCTGTAGTTTAACTTTGGCCTTTATTTCAGTAACTTTAATGGATGTTTTAAGGCGTGAGCGCTTGTTTTTTATTTCAGAAATTACTCGATAAGATGGAAACCTGAATGGTGCTTCCTTATGGGTATTTTTAGAAACACTTCCGGAAGGTTTGTTATGCAAGAAATTTACAAAAGCTTCTTCAGACGTCGTTTTCTCTCGCTATTGTATTTATTTTGTATTCTCTGACTTGAATTCTAGTAATGTATTTAAACCCACTATTTACATTTTCAAAAGTATTTACTGAAAGCTGAAAACATTGCACAATTTGTATTAAATTGATTTCCTCCATTATCTTAGTTCACAACAATAAACTTACAAAGTAAAAAGAAACTTTTTAACATCATTTAGAAATTCATGTGGTTTTGGTCGATTAGTGGGACATTAAAAATGCACTTAAGAATTATTTTTTCTTAAATTAGTTATGCATTTTAAAACCATAAACTCATGAAGTTAAAATAAAAATTTTTTCTTTCAGTAACAACATGAAAAAAAAATTTATTTTGGTCTTTCATGCTTTAAAGTAGTTTGTATGTTTTTTACTTTTTTTAATGAATGAAAAAAATTATTTTTATCGAAGTTTTTTATTTGTTTAAAAAAGCATCAATTTTTCAAAACTATTTAGCTCTCAAGATCGCGGATGATCGCAGCTACACTTCGCAGGGGAGTTAGTAGATACTATAGACTAAAAAATATCAAAATATGGAAAAAAGGTACAAATTGAAACAATTTTTTAATTCTTTATCAAAGTTAAAATTTAGTACTTTTGTGATGAATTTTTTACTTTTAATGCTAAAAGTTTTACTGCCTACCTTTTCAAGAAATTTTTTATTTTTCATTTTTAACTGTCTATACTATAATCTTTCCAAAGATGTATATATTCTCAATTCTTCAATGATCTATATATTAAAAAAAAAATAATTACTAAAATTCAGCAATTTGAGAATTTTATCGAAAATTCATTAAAAAAATCTAACTTCAAGAAGCCACTACAATTGAGCCTGCCACATTTAGAATTTCATAAACTGGAAAATTCTTAGTGAGGGTATTAGTTACAAAACCCACTATCAGACATAATTATTGAACCAAGTTACTTTTCTGATTTTTGGCCATCTGATTTCCCACTGTGCAGTGCTTTTAATAAAAAAACATTGGTTTAATAGTTGTATTGCGCTTTTTCGAATGCTCAGAAGATAGTAAAAGTATCTAAATATTTTTTGAATTCTGATCTGTAAAAGGTATAAAAATTCAGTAGAAAGACATTATTTTGAGGAACACAACACTATCATTTACTAATTTTTTTCAGAAAGTGGAGATAAAACAAGATAATTCTAAATTAGTATATTTTAACAATTTATATCTATTATTTCAAGTTACATATTCTTTATCAGACTTATCATTCTAACTGAGTTTATGTAAATCCAATTTCTTCTTTGAATAACTATAAATATATTTTATTGAATAAACTTTTTGTATTTTGATAACTTCATTAATTAAAAGGACGCTAAGAAAATTTTGTAATTTAATAAACCCACTTTTTTTTGATAACTTTATTAATGAAACTGACGTTAAAAAAACTTTAGTAAATCACGCACACTTTTGAAATTAAAATTAATAGATATAAAAATGGAATTTAAATCACGCACACGAATGGAATTAAAATGAATGGTTATAAAAATAGAATTAAAATTGCGCACACATATGAAAGCAGAAAATTCAAATTATGTTTGATCGTATTTTTGCAGACTAGCAAAAATATTTTGAGTTTTCGTTTTTAATAAAATACAGAAAGAGAGCGTTTTAAAAGGAAAACATTACAAAGAGAATAAACAGTTACGCAACCAAACAGCTACTATACCAAAAACGATGTACAAATTACTTAGTTACAATTATAAGCTTAAACTTTATTAACTTTTTTTTTTTTTTTTGACGATCCCGAAATCCCGGGAAATATAGGAGGCTAATCCCGGGATTTTGGAATGAACAATTTGTTCAAAATCCCGGGATTTCGGGATCCCGGGATTGCCATCCCTAAGTACAGGCCAACATTCTATAGTTAAAACGATTTTAAACCATTTTTTATTATTGCTAGCGAAAACTTAAGTCTACAAATTATGTATAAAGTATCATTTCTACAAGGAATTTATTTTGATTAACAGATCAAGGTAACTCAACTCATTTTTTATTGACTAGGATTTAGTATTTGGGGAGGTGTCACATGGCCATGCACCCCCCTTTTTCTGGCCCTGATTAAGATTTTAGTGTTGGAAGTGTAGAACGGAATCTACAGGGTTTATGGTAAACATTCCGGTGGGAAATTGGCTAGCGAATAGTAGCTATAATCGTCACGATAAAGACAACGATTTGGACGCGAGGATCGCTAGCTTTTTTAAGTTAGCGAAAAGCTATCGATTTTTTAACATTTTGCTTAACTGTTTCATTTAATGAATTCTGATTCGTGTAGAATAACGGAAAAACTTAGAGGTCTAATCTAGTCATTGTTACAACATTTTTTTATTCTCATTTTGACGTAAAAAAGACTTTTACACGTTTTTGACGTCTTTTGAACATCTTTTAAACCTTTTTTTGGTCCGGTGCCCATTGGGTTTATACCATCTTCTAACCCTCGTGTTGCAACACTTTAGTTTGAACATCTTTATTTCAATTGATGTTTCAAAAGTTGTCTGTCATTATGTGTTAGTGCTAAAATTATTGTTAATAACCTAACAATAGTTTTAAATTCATTGTGCAAACGTTTTTTTTTGTTTTTTATTCCGAAATTTTCAGAACAGTGGCTAAGATTACTATTTATAAAGTTTGTATCGAAGATCACTAAAACTTTACATTCCAACAACTCAATTTGCACAGCTATCTGCCTTTTTATTTCCAATAAAGTTTCTCAAAACAACCACAAACAACAACCAAGCTGTTTTTTACTTGCTACACGTTTTTTTTTTTTTTGTATTAACAAATTCTTTATCATTTGTAAGTTAATTTGAAGCCCATGAAAAAAATCGTTTTCTTACTGTAGTGACAAACCTAGAACTTTTTGTAACTTGTTGCCTACTGTAACAAGTTGCAAAAAGAAAAGTTAAAAAAAAACTGATTTTAATGAAACTATTTAGATATAGAAAATAAAAAAAACAATACATAAATAGAGAAAATGTAAAATCTTAAATGTTGACATCTTCAATAGATTTTATTCGTATTAATATTTTAAATAAAACTTCTTTTTATGGTTTAATATCTATTTGTTAAAAATATATTTATTTTTACGATATTTCGAGGGAATATTGATACCTTCGTTATCAAGTATATTAAAAACCGTTATAAAAAATAAAACTGCTATATTACATATATATATATATATATATATATATATATATATATATATATATATATATATATATATATATATATATATATATATATATATATATATATATATATATATATATATATATATTCTATAGCTTATAGAGATTATTATTTATTAGTATTTGTAAATATCCATGAAAGTTTATTTCAGAATATATATGAATAATACTGTACAGAAAGCAATTATTAATAGTTTTTAATATTTTAACAAACTGTTTTATAAAGCCAAGTTTAAGTTAAAGCCAAGTTTAAGATAGATGGCCGTTGCAAGTAGACTGTTTTTTTTTTTTGCGTCAATTTTATGCTTGATAGTCTTGCTTGATACAGAGATAACACCGGAATTTGTAAAAACCTTTTTCCCCAACCAAATAGGAAGTTTAATATTTTTAGATTTACGACCAATTTCGTTTAGATCTACAAGTAATTTCACCTTTCTCGGAAAAAGCCATTCGAATGAGTTATATAACTAATTCGAATGAGTTATATTTGCAGTTACGTCAATTTAAAACCATCTCATAATTGTATTTGATTTAAAAAAGTAATGATATCATTATTTCTTGTATGAAATATTGAGTAAGTTACATATAAACTTTAATTCAAATAATAATTAATACTTTAAAAAAAATTAATACAATTAGTACCAAAAAAACTATAGCATGCCGACAAAAAGACCTAAATTAGAAGCAGTTGTATAAACTGCGTGACGTTTTTTTTATTTTTGCGTTACATTTATTTTACAGCAAAAAGAGACAATTAATAAAACAATAAATGGCGTTTACGTTTACTCACTCTTCCTCACTCTACACATGAGTATTTGAATCATCTTTTTAATTTTTTAGATATTTATAAACATTGCCATTAACTTGCATTAATTTGCAATAACGTATTACTGTAATGATTTTAAGCTTTTTATTATAGCCTGTTAGAAAAAAGTTATTTTTTGCATCAATACATATGTTTATACTAATCTTTTATTACTTATTTACTACTCATATTTGCATCATTATATAATTAAAAACCTTTTATTTGCAAGATCTTGAAAAAGATATTAACACACTATAAAAACGTTGCATTTAGTTGAAATAAACATTAATCATTGGTTTAATAACTTTGAAGATGGTAAGAAATTTTGTTATGTAAATTGTTTAAATATGATATACTATAATGATTTGAAAGGTTATGTTAGTTCTAACTTAGTATTAGTGAAAATTAGATGTAGAATTTGATCGAAATTTTCATTTAAATCAAATTTCTACAAATTTTTAAAAAAATGTGCAGAAAATCCAGTTTGGCTATTGTTAAGGATTCTCTAAAATAAATGAAATAAAAAATAATAACAATAAAATAAAAACAAGTGGGTTTGCAGATAAAAAAAGAGCACCTAAACCTAAAACCACAACATTAAATCAAGATAAGTCATTTGCATTAATGAATTAACACAATAGAAGATTGGCAGCCCCAAATTAACGACCAGTTTAATTAAAGTCATTCAGAGGTAATATTTGTAAATAGGAGAAAACAGCGTCTTAGAGTCATGATGCTGTAAAGAAACTTTTGTTTACAACTTTTGCATGTTGAAAACAAAAGAAGATTGAAAAAATGTATTGTGGACATTTGACTCCAAATTTGATTTTTTCGGTAATCAAAGACGTATATTTGTGAGAAGCACAGTGAAAAAAAAGATGAGTTCATGAGAAGCACCGTGAAAAAAAAGATGAATTTTTACAAGATCTCCACCCAGTCCGTGAGTCTGGGTGGAGATCTTGTAAAAAGTCCACCCAGTCCACCCAGTCTTACAAGATCTCCACCCAGTCCGTAAGACTGGGGGGAGATCTTGTAAAAAATGACGAAATAACGATAAAAGAATATTATAAAAAATATTAGAAGAAAATGCTATTTCATCTCGTAAAAATTAAATGCAGAAAAACATAGTTCTAGATTCTGTCGCAACTATATTCAAGATCAAGAAGATGAGGAATCTTTAAAGATATAAACTGGCCAGCTCAATCTTCCGATTTTATCCCATTTGAGTTATTATGGAAGCAACTTAATTGAAATGTTCAATAAAAATGCCAAACGACTAAAAATCAGATATTGAATATCTTAAAGGAGTCAAGAAGTTCAATTTCTGAAATTAAACGATCGATTGTCAAAAATTTCAAAAAAACTTCATCAAAAGACTTTTTTTTTTCCAAAAGACTTTTTTTTTTTGGCGAAAAGAAAGTTTGTTGATTTTTGTATCTTTATATCATGTCAAAATGTTTTATTTAAATAAAACATTTTGACATGATATAAAGATACAAAAGATACATTTTAATATAAATTATTTTATTATATATATGAATATATGATGCAATGTTCAAATTATTATACTATATATTTGTATATATATATATATATATATATATATATATATATATATATATATATATATATATATATACACAAATTTATATATATACAGAGGCCGGCAGTGTAAATTTATACAAGTATAATATAATAGTTTAAACATTTTACAAGTGTATATGCTCCTATATATGTTTTTTATTTTAGATTTTCTTAGTTTTTTTTCTTTTTGTGGTTGCCCAAGCTAAAGGTAAGTAATATATTTTAAATCGATAATAATTTTATGTTTACAAAATAAAACTTTTATCTTTACTTAGAATCAATTTTTTGAATTTACATTTAAAGTAAACATGGCCGACGCCACCGAGGGGGCTACGGGGCACGGCGCCTCATTTATTTTATTTCATTTTTTTTTTTAAACAATTTCTAGATACAGAAAATACCCCCCTTTCCCCACTTAAAAACCAGTTTCGTCGGGTCTGGTAAATGCTAAAAAAACATAATAACAAGCAAGTTGTATTATAATACATATTTCGTTCAATCAAGCTGAACCACGGTACCTGTACAGTTGGGTAGGTCAATTACACATTTTTTTAAAATTAAAGTGTTTAACATTTCAAAACGTTTCTAATCTATCCAAAACACCTTCTGAATAATTTTAAGAAATTAAAACTTTTCTGTGCAACGTTTATCGCGGCGTTTCAGTACTGTATTGTAAATTCAAAACTAATTTATTTGATCTCACAAAGTTATAGTAAAAAAAAGATTAACAAAATAAGTGACCGCTTTAAAATTTAGGTAATACGTAAGCTACGTTTTTTAGAGTTTATTTAAATTTAAAGAAGCCGTGGCATATAAACTTATCTATTTTTTCTTCGGAGAAAGATTTATATATATATATATATATATATATATATATATATATATAAAAGACATATAAGACACTTAAATGAGATTTAGGGGGGCCACCTTAAGCTTGAAACTTGGAACGAGACCCTAAACAGAAGAAAAAAAAGTTTTTTAAATGTATGTCATGTTGGATCTAAAAAATAGCAAAATTTAATAAAAATTTCAAAAATAACTATTTTGCCAACCAACCGCTGTCCTCGTTTGAATATCCGAATAAATTGTTGATTGAAATGTTGATTGAAATGTTGCTTGATTTATTGTTTATATATCTTGTTTAACTGATTGGCCCAATTAAATCAGTTAAACTAGAACTGCTTCAGAAGAGGAAATTGTGGAAAGCCTATATGATGATCACAGTTTTCTTTTATATTTTTCGTCATTGTTTTATCAATTTTAGTTTTATCACGATCAGATACCTTATCAGACAATAATGAAAGAGAAGGAATTTCTTCGGTTAAATACCAAATATTTGAATTAAATATTTCCAGGGTAGCAACAGCAACATCATTTTCATAAATAATATTTTTTATAAATAAGCATTTTTTTGTAGAATTTCAAGTCATTAAATGGGACATCAATTTTATGTGAAAATATGGCGCGTAAGCCATATTTTCACATAAAATAGTAAAGTAAATTTACAAACCTAGATAATTTCTCTATAAAAATTTCTTCATACTCTGCCAGGTCAGCAAAAGCAAACATTTTTGATATGTACAAGATTGTACACACCCATCTAGCATGATGGAAGACTCCAGGTTTGTGCCACCGTATATTTATTTGTTTTAGATTGAGTAATTGCAAAACAAGTTGACAAGAAATTAATGAAAGTTTAGGCTATACCTTATATTTAAAGTGTCAAAATTGCTCTTAATTTGGAGATCTGCATTCTCCAAAACATAAGTAAACATAAGACAAAACTCTTTAAAAAATTTGGTGTCGGCAGGCGCACTAAAGTATTTTTTTATTAAAGTGTTTTTCAATTAATTTTGCAGAATCATTTATCCAACCTGAACTTGATGGAGTTGTGTCAAAAATAATTGCCACTAGTGTTTTTTCTAGTTTCCATGCCATTGCCTTGGGAGCTGTTGCCTGACTTCGTTCAGTTGTATCAGTAATTTTGGATAAACACAACAATTTCCCTTCAGGTGCACTTGGTTTTCCTATTACTACAATAGCCAAACATTCTATTTTACCATTAAACTCAGTTTTTAATCCCAGTGAATGGAAGAGTACATGGGTGAAATGATTGTTTTCTTAATATCATCTGAAACTTACTGTCGAATTTTATTCGACAGTAAGTTTCAGAGAAAAAATCTATTGTTTCTTAGTAAAACTGAGAAGTTTAGCTGCATTTTTAGTTAAGTTTTCTCTAAGATGCAGTATCATTATAACAATATCTTTCTTCTGTTTTGTTGGAATTCCAAAATTGGAATTCCATTTTCCAAAAAACATTAACTTTTTCCCAAACTACATATGCAACTTCTTTTTTACCAGTTAATTTCAAATCAAATCTTGTAAGATAAAGATAATGGCGTACAGCATCTCCATTCGTTGGTAGTTGACTATACATCTTTGCTTCAAGGGTAGGCAATAATATGCCAACAATATTATCCAACTTCTCATCATTTTTTCTCTATTTACTATTGCTTACAACTGATCGATTATTTTTTAACAGTGATCAATATTGATACAAAACATATTTAACTGCAATAATAAATTTATATATTTAGACTAAAATCACAGTCTAAAAGTAAATAATTTTAAAAAAGTGGGTGGCAGAGGAGGAAAAAACTTTTAAAAAAGGGCGTGGGGAGGGTCAAACTTCATAATTTTTCAAAAATCTTCTTATTTTCACTTTTAACAGAAAAAAAAAACTAAAGGAAAACTTTTTTTTTTGGCACACCCTAATATATAAATATATATACATGTATATATACATATATATATATATATATATATATATATATATATATATATATATATATATATATATATATATATATATATATATATATATATATATATATATATATATATATATATATATATATATATATATACATATATATATATAAATTTATAGTTTTAAAGGTACCCAAATGAGTCACTGATTACTTTAGGTAGCGGAAAACCAATAAGTTTTAATAACTCTTTAAATGAAATCAAGTTTTTTGTTTTATTTGGTGGTGGTAAACCTTACAGTCTCATCAAAGTGTTATAAAAATGCATATATTAACGATTTTGTTTCAACAAAATATTATGCTTTGATCACCAAAAAATGCGTCTTGTTTAAAAGTTAGTTCAGTAGATTGTCTCAAAACAGTGACATTAAGTTATAATAAACTAAGTAGACGAAATGACATTATTGCAAACATATTAATTTAATTATTAAAACATACTACAACAGTAACATTTACAGTTACGGCAGTTAAAAATGTCATAAAAATTAAAATGATTTTTTAAGACCATTTCTTAATATACTTTATTAAAAAATACAAAAGACAAGTAAATTATATATGGAAATATTCTCACAGAATTGAATATATTGTTTCAGGCGCGGATGCAGCATTTTTTGATGTTTGAGGTACATAACTTCTAGACATGGAGCAAACTCCATGTCTGGAATTTATATGTTTATACTTATATCAAATATGGATGCTTTTTAAAAAATTGCGATGATTGGAGCCTGGGAACAAAAAAGCCCTAAAATTTTAGCTACACCTGCCCCAAACGCGAGAGCAACAAGTTAATAATATATTTTTTCTACTATTCTCAACCAAGTATATATTCATCGATAAATTTTAAAATTGACACAATAATCTTTTAGCATTCAAAAACTATGACCCTAAAAAGTTTGAACCCCCCTCAGTTTGAGGGAGCTGCAAATTTTATAAGACCATAATTGTTAAACGCTAAGAGATTATTGTGTGAATTTTAAAATTTATCGATGAATATATACTTGGTTGAGAATAGTAGAAAAAATATTTTATCAACTTGTTGCTCTCACGTTTGGGGTAGGTGTAGCTAAAATTTTAGGGCTTTTTTGTTCCCAGGCTCCAATCATCGCAATTTTTTGAAAAGCATCCTTATTTGATATAAGTATAAACATATAAATTTTTGGAGTTTGCTCCATGTCTAATTTTACTCATGTCATTTTACTAAGTAGTTTTGTTGGCTTGTGAAGAAGCGTTCCTTTATTAATTAGTTTCATTAATTGTCATGGCTAATTTACGCGTTTGTTTAGTTATCAATAATCAAGTCAATGATTGGTTAACAGACATTTATTTTAATTACATATTAAGTGAAGAAGCGTCACTTGATGTGTTTCATCGTTTTTATTTAGTTAAAACATTTCAAAGTTGCCTCTTAATAAATCAATTCGCACTAACTTAGTCGTAATTACATAATTTGAACACGTGAAATTTGAATTTTTTATCGTATAGAAATAAATATATATTTACCCAAACATTTTTCTTTTTAAATGTAATATGCGGTAGTAAAGTAGTGATTGTTATACATTCACCTTGTAAACATGAAAGTTAATTATTAATTAATTGCTGTTATTGGTTAGGATTTGCATAAGCAAATGTGATTAAAAAAATACTCATAAATTTCCAATTTTTGTTCATTAACTCTGGCAGCCGAACCCTGAAGCCGAAGCCGGGAGTCGAGCCGGACATATCTTGGAAGCTAGGGCCGAGTCGTAAAGGAAACATTCGGCTCCACAAGTCTGCTTTAAAGCCTGAACTTTATCCAAAAAAGTAATTTATTCAGTGTGTGCGTGTGTATGTGGAAGGAGGGGGAGGGAAAGCGTACTTGACATTCTATTTTAGAAATTGCTTTCTACCGAAGTGTTACTGCAAAGGTATGCTTAACTAGGAAAGCATAAGCAAAATATTTCTACTGATTGTCTGGAGAACATTAAATTGAATTCTTCATGACGACGCTTGTCCAGAGCAACATAAAATTAAAGAGCGCGTTTCTAGGAGAGATTAAGTTGCATTTTTTTTTATTTCAAGAAAAAAAGAAAAAAATCCAAATATTTATCAAAGTATTTCTTAAATCTTTAATTAACAATTTTATAATTATATATAAAGACGGTAAACATGTTTTTAAATAAAAAATCCGAATATTGAAAAAACTCAATTTTGGAAAAAATGGATCAAACTACCTATTAGAAACTTCTTGCCTGAAGGATTCTATTTATAGAGCTTGTGCACATTGGCAAACATTCATAGAAAACCAGGGATCCAGGGACCCATTCATAGAAAACCAGGGAATTAAAAAAGTTTAATTTATTTATCTTTTATTATTTAAGTATTAAAAAATCAAAAATGCCAA